CTCGGCCCATTGCCACCACTATATTCAATAAATTGAATTAGTTTTGGATAAATTTAATTTAACATGCATTATACAGATCTCATTAAATACCTTTGATGTTAAAAAATAGACATATATTGTGCTAACTCACATGCAACCTACCTGCAATGTACGTGCTCCAACTAGTAAATTCATCAAGAGGCAATTAGAAAAAAGAAAAAATACAGTTGCATGAACTCNNNAAAAAATACAGTTGCATGAACTCCAGATCTTAGAAGCATTGCAAAAATGAACTTAACCCAGAAGTTTTTCTTACTTATTTTCATTTTAATCTTCTCTCCATCCACAATTTTCAGCAAAATCAACCCTTAGAATGTTGATGAAAACCTCAAGAAATCAGTGAATACCCTAGAAAAAGTAGTGGAGATTCTGTGTGGCCGTGATGCCAGTCTAGCCCACATAAAACAATGATGATATGACATTCGGTCCAATCCGAATACCTTTCTTCGGTTGAAGTAAGCCCAATGAAACCAAAGCCCAACACTTAGTCCAAGTAAAGAGAAAACGTGTTGTTCCTTATTTGTTGAAAGTGCTAGTTTCTCTGAGCCGTTGGATGTGCTGCTACCAATCTCGATGCCTTGATATTTTGGAAGTGAATGGTTTTCTGATTAATTCATTCTTTTCTTTCTGTTTTCTCGAGGACTTCTTGAGACTTCTGTGTTCTCTCATATTTCGTCTTCTTCTTCTGTGAAGATTTCTTGAATCTATTTCTTGAGTGTGATTTCTGTGTGAAATCAGGAAATAGAAAGGTGTGTTGTTGGTAGCGTTAAGTTCTTCTGGCTCATAGAAGAAACTTCACATTTTACTGTGGATCGTGAGGGATCTTGGGTGGATCTAGGTTTCAGGATATTGAATCATATGGGTACAATGTTCTAAGCCATCATTCTGTGATATCTTGATGTTCGGTGGTCTATTAGGAGATAAACATTTATAATAGGGATTTCGGGTTTTAGATCTGTAATTCATTTGTTCATAAGTTTGTATAACAGATTCTGCAAAAAACATGAATGGGAAAACGCATATTTTACTTAGTTCAAGGCTTCAAGCCCCCTTAGCTGCGATGAAAAGTGCGAAACACGCACGCCATGCATGCCAGTTCTGGTGTCGATGCTGTCGGAAAAATTCGTTCAGTTTGAAGTTCAAAAGCTTCAACTACTATCGACAAATTTGGTAGTGTGGATGCTGTAGCAACATATACATGCCATAGATCTGATTGTATCTCAATGGAAATTATTGTTCGAACTTTTGAAATATCATTTTTTATGTAAGAATAATTGCAGTCTCACTATTTTGAATGTTCTTCAAACTCTTCCATCCATTCAATTCGAATTATTCCTTTTTTTCCTTGGCAATTATTATCAGTCACATTTTAAAAAATGGTGAATTTATAGGTCACAAATTAAATAAAAAACTATGATCATGAAGAAATTCCTAGATGAAAATTAATGGGGGATTTTGTGATGAAATTTACATTTATCATCCATCACTACCGTTGAAATATAGCATTTCATTTTTAATTTTACTAGCAATAGATAAATTAGGGATGGAAATCTACCATTGTAGACGTCTATACCAATTTATCATAGAAGATAAATAATATTTATTTAGATATGAGTTCTACGTAAGTTGTATTCGAATTTATTTAGACAATGGCATTCAATTTTAAATTTAGGATAAATTGAACCAAACCTTTTAAACTAGTGTTGTTGATCCTAACCTTTTATTTTTTCTTTCAAAATTCCAAACCTTGGAGCTAATATGCAACATGAAGTCATTTGAAATTAGGACAGGATCTTCATTTCACCATTAATAAGAAGGATAACTTGATCTCCTCATAATTAATCAATTAAAAAAGGGGGAAAAAGGAAAAGGATTATCTTCCCCATCCACCCATGTCCATACCACCATCTCATCCTAACTCAACAAAGATCTTCATTTCTGTTTTGTTTTTAGTTGATTTAATTAATTAAATATGAAAAGATCAATTTGTCATTCTTATTAATGTTCAAACGAAGGTTCAAATCTATTTTTATGATCGACTAACAATTTTTTGGAGTGAATCCGTTAAGAGACCTCGTGCTGCATTGATTTAGAATTATTCTGCAAGTACATGAAAAAACGGACAGAAACTGTGTGATTGCTTTTTTTGTATTTTTGTCATCTTTCAATGATAATATGTCAAGTGTCCATCTGTATGATTTTTGTGAAAAAATTTATGTACCTACAGCTTTGTTGATTAATTTATTGAGATTTTGAAGCGAATAAAAAAGGCTTGGGACAAATGACACTTTTTAAAAGGTTTGAGACTTATACTGCAATTTACCCTAAAATTATGGTATATGGAAATATATATATACCTTTTGACAAACATGTAGCCATAGTCCTACTTCTACGATTTCATTAAGAGTTAATCCTCTCGTACAAGGGAGATTGTCAGGAAAAATGCTAGGAAGACAAGTGGCGCATGTGCACTGGTCGGGAAAAAATAGTTTTTTGTCTAAGGTCCAATAAATGTAATGCAGCCTGACGATTCTCCATATGGGTTAATTTCACAAATGGTCACTCAAGTTACAGCAAAATTTCAAAATGGTCACTGAAGTTCCAAAATTGCATAAACGGTCACT